AAGTCAAATTATTTTTTGTATAAACATATTTGGCAGTAAATCTTTTATAAACCTTTAAATGACTAAGCCAACTAAAATTGAGCCAAAAGTGACACTGGCATAAAAGGAAGAGTAAGGAAATCCAAAATAGCTCCATGCTCATGAGTTGAGAGACTTAATCAGATTAAGATGATGATACTCCCCAAATTGATGTACAGATTCATACAATTCTATAAAAATTGCAACCATCTTTTTTATGGAAATGGACAAACTGATTCTAAAATTCATTTGGATATGCTAAAGGCTGGGATTAGTCACAACAATATTAAAGGGGGAAAAAACAAAGTTAGAGGACTCCTTCTGATTTTGAAGTTTATCACAAAAGCTGTAGCAATCTGAAGACAGCATGGTACTCACATAAGGATAGATATAGAGATCAATGGAAGAACATTGAGAGTCCATAAATAAATCCACACAGTTTTGGTCAGTTTATTTTTGAAAAGGATGCCAAGAATGTTTAATGGGGAAAGAATAATATTTTCAACATAAATCATGGGAAAACGAGATACCCAAACACAAAAGAAAGATTAGAGTTGGACTCCTAACTCACATAATATACAAAAAACTAATCAATTACAAACCCAAATGTAAGAGCTAAAACAATAAAACTCTTAGAAGGAGACATAGGTATAAGTCCTTGTGACCTTGGATTAGGCAATACTTTATTAAACATGACACCAGAAGCACAATGAACCAAAAGACATTTTAAAATGTATTTTATTAAAACCAAAAACTTGTATATGTCTCAGGACACTATCAAGTGTGAAGAGACAACTCCTAGAACAGGAGTAAATATTTGAAAATTATATATCTGATAAAGATCAAAGATCCAAAATATATAAAGAACTCTTACAACTCAACAATAAAAAGATAAACAACTGAATTAAAAGACAGGCAAAGGAATTGAGCAGACATTCCTCTAATGATGATACATAGATGATCAGTAAGCACATGAGAATATGCTCAAAGTCATTACACACTAGGAAAATGCAAATTAAAACCACAATGAGATACTTCTTTATATCCACTGTGGCTATCGTTCTAAAAATTAAATATAGAAAGAAAAACAAGTGTTGCCAAAAATGTGGAGAAAATGAAATGCTCATACGTTGCTCTTGGGAATTTAAAATGTTTCAGCCACTGCGAAAAATAGTGTGGCAGCCCTGCAAAAAGTTAAACATTGAGTTACCCATGACCCACAGATTCACTCCTGTATATATTCCCAAGAAAATCGAAAGCATATGCTCCTGCAAAAACTTGTATACAAATATTTATAGCAGAATTACTCACAATAGCTAATAAGTGAGAATAACTCGATGTCTATCAGCTGATGAAAGGATAAAAATATGTGGCACATCCATACATTGGAATGAATATTGTTCAACGTTGTTCACTCATATAAAGGAATGAAGTGCTATGTATGTGCTACAACGTGGATGAACTTTGAAAACATCACGCTATGTGAAAGAACACACACACAATAGGTCACATATATTATGATTCTATTAATATGAAATGTCCAAATAGGTAAATTCATAAAGATGTAAAGTAGACTAGTGGTTGCCAGAGAATGCATGAATTAGTATTTCCACATATTGAAAATAGGAAGGGACTGCTAACATGTATGTGTTTTTTTTTTCCTTTTTTTTTTTTTTTGAAGGTGATGGAAATGTTCTATAATTACATAGTGGTGATAATTACACAACACCATGAGCATACTAACAGCCACTGAATTGTAAACTGTAACATAATGAATGTTACATAATGGGAATTTATCTCCATTTAAACATTGCATAAAAATAGCCAGCTCTGGAAAAAATTTACTGTTTTTTTTTTTTCAGATTCAATGTTATAAATGAAGGAAATAGTTTCCTTTCCTGCAAACCTTATTGTACATTTATTTAGATTTTCTCTTTCACTGTCCCATTTCAGATTCTTGAAAAATCAGATATTTTAAGACAAAACTCTTTCCCTCGTTTGGAACACATTTATCCTATTATCCTGCATACATAGTTAAGTTTCTGGTCATTACTGTTTCTACCATGGCCTCCACTATACATATTAGTACTGACATTCAACGAAAGAAAATAAACAGGGAAAGATCACTGAGTACTTTCTTTCCTATGCAATGAATCCTAGAATGGCCCTGAAATCTGGTGCCAGCTCTTCTATGCTGCACTCTGAGAGCAGCCCTGGCCTCACTGGGACCTCCTGGGAGATTTCTGTTCAAAATTACCGTTTTAGCTGACCTTGGTCCTACTGTGGATCTTAAAACAGCACTGTAAACTGGCTCCAGGCCCTCTCTGGGAGACAAGCTCATTCATAAACCAGAGGCAGGCCTGGAGACCTTGGTCTCAGCTGTATACAGGCCCTGAAGCAGCCCTGTTACTTGATATCCATTCCTCTCAGCTGCAATCTGGACCACTGCTGTCTGCCTAGGAACCTACCTGGTGACCCAGCAGGAGCCCTCCTAAGGACTCAGAGGAAGCCATATCCATCCACATCACATATCTGGTAACTAGCCCACAATCTGTGGACTCTGAAGGAGACCCTCAGCCCTGTGCCAAACCTACTGACCAAGGTCTGGGAGGCAGTCCAATTAACCCAGGGAACAGGCAGAATCTAAGCCTACTAGAGCCCCAGGTAACAGGCCTGCCAACCACAGACCTCACTGTTGACCCAGCAAAACCATGGGACCTGGCTCTACCTCCAGTTGACCACTATTCTGGAAGAAATCCTGTCATCCTGGGAACCCAGCAAGAGCATCCTGAGAAGCTTGACCTGCAAAACCAGCCTATAAAGATGGGGAAAGGTGTTTGCTTCTTCAGATCCATAGACACCAATGCAGAGTTACACAGATAATGATGAACCAGCCAAACACAATACCTCCACAGGAAACTCCGGTAACTAACCCCCAACCCAAATGGAGATCTACAAATTTCTCCCCAAAATTCAAAATTCAAAATCATCATCTCACACACTGCTGAGTGAGATGCAAGAAAATACAGATGGACAAAATTAGAAAACAATGCACTAACAAAAAGAGAGGTTTACTAGCGAATTAGAAACCATTAAGAAAAAAACACAAAAAGTGTATAAGAAGAGAACTGAATATTTTAATGGAAATCTTCAACAGCAGACTGGGTCATACAAAAGAAAAAATTAGCAACTTGAAAACAGGTCATGTAAATAGTTTAATTAAAGGAAGAAAGAAAAAGGATTAAATAACAGTGAAGAAAGTATAAAGGACCTATGGAATACCATCAAGCATACACATACAGCTAGTGCTCGACTTACGACCATGGTCGGGACCGCGGACCGGTCGTAACACAATTTGGTCGTAAGTTGAGTAGCCTATATGTACAGTTGAAATGGTGCACGTGGAGATGGTAGTGCTGCCAGAAGCTGGTCCGCACTGTCGTACGCCCAGCTGGGCAACGTTTGCGCTGCCAGAAGTGGAGCAGTCGTGGCTAGCGATTGTGGTCGTAAAGTTGAATGGTCATAAGCCGCATAGGTGGTAAGTCGATCAATACCTTGTACACAAATTATGGGAGTCTCAGAAGGAGAAAAGAAGGAAATGAGCAGAAAGCTTATTTAAAGGAATACTGGAAGAAAAATGTAAAAGCTAGGGAAGACCAAGTATTGGTGGCAATATGGGGATATGAAAATCCTCATGCACTACTGGTAGAATTGCAGTGTGATGTAACCATTCTGGAGAGCTATTTGTCACTATTTAGCCGCTGAACTACATGCCTCTGAAAGAGCATTCTCACTCCTGTGTACATGCCTTGCAAGAGGATTTACCTGTCTCAAAGGGTATATGTAAAAAGATATTTATCAAAGCAGTATTTGATAAGGCAGGACAATAGAGACAATCTTGTTTTTATTATTAGGAGAGTGGAAACATTAAATGTGGTAGATGATCACCAAAGACAGCTATAAGGCAAAAAAATGCAATTAATAAGATACATACATATAAACATGGGAGGATGTTTTAAAACTAGGCAATGATCAAAAAGAGTAAGAAATAGGCAAAGTCTAAGTCACAATACTAATTATGTAAAATAAAAATACATACTTAGGACTTTCCTTTCCAGTAATGACATGCAAGGAAATTGAGACCAAACTTCCTACTTAAACTAAAAATGGTTGGTTACATGTATACTCGCTGGAGGTATTGAAAAGCAAAGACTGTGAATAATTATGAATCCAAAGTTCAGAAGCAACATAGCAACCCAGAGGGGCATTTCTGTGTTTTGAAGGCACTTTCCCCTTAGGGTGTTTAACGGCTCCAGAATATTTGGCTGAGAGATTTAGAAGCACATTTTAAAGTCTTTAGTCAATAAAATGGTAGCATCTAGAGTCCAAGGCTCTCCAAATTGGGGCAAGGAGAGGTTCCTGATAGACCCTTCACATACAGTGTTGTGATATCAAACTGAAGGTATAGTTCAAATGGTCCATAAACATATGAAAGGATGTGTAAAGTCATTAATAATGAAAATTAAGACAAGATACTGCTTCACCCATCAGACTGACAAAAGGTAAAATGCCTAGCAAAGTAAACTGATGGTAAAGATAAAATAAACTGAAAATATCCCATACTGCAGATGGGTGTTGAAATCCTTGTACCACTTTGAAGAGCAATTTACCAATATCTGGTAGATTTCAAGATATACATACATATATAGCCTATAACCCCATCTCTGCTGTATACCCTAGAGAAACTCTTGTAAATATGCTTAAGTAGACGTACCATATTTGTGGCGATATTGTTTGTAATGTTGAAAAAAACTATGAAGAATCTAAAATCCAGCACTAAGGGAACAGAGTAACAGGTTTCGCTACGTTCATAGAGTGTCATGTAGATGATCATTAAAATTAATGAATTATATCCTCATTATCAATGTTAGTAAGTCGTAAAAACATAATAGTGAAACTGAAGAGAGGAGGCTGGCTGCATGATGGGAGATGAGACTACTGGGAAGAAGTTACCTGCAACTACAGCAACTCCAGACTCGTCGGAAATGGAAATAGACAGCAGGACAAAAAGCAAGGATTACTGCAAAGTAATATTTCCATATGAGGCACAGAATGATGATGAACTGACAATCAAAGAAGGAGATATGGTCACTCTCATCAATAAGGACTGCGTTGACGTTGGCTGGTGGGAAGGAGAGCTGAACGGCAGACGAGGCGTGGTCCCCGATAACTTCGTGAAGTTACTTCCACCAGACTTTGAAAACGAGGGGAATAGACCCAAGAAGCCACCACCTCCATCTGCTCCTGTCATCACACAAGGGGCAGGTACCACTGAGAGCAAACATGAACTTAAAAAGATACCTCCTGAAAGACCAGAAATGCTTCCCAACAGAACAGAAGAAAAAGAAAGACCAGAGAGAGAGAGCCACAACTGGATTTACAGAAGCCCTCCGTTCCTGCCATACCACCAAAAAAGCCTCGGCCACCTAAGACCAATTCTCTCCTATGAGTGAGAACATGTGGTGTTTGATTTTCTGCTCTTGTGTCAGTTTGCTGAGAATGATGGTTTCCAGGTTCATCCATGTACCCGCAAAGGACACGAACTCATCGTTTTTGATGGCTGCATAATATTCCATGGTGTATATGTGCCACCATAGGCAGGTGTTGAACAATGAGAACACATGGACACAGGGAGGGGAGCATCACACACTGGGGTCTGTTGGGGAGAAATAGGTGAGGGACAGCATGGGGTGGGGAGTTGGGGAGAGATAGCATGGGGAGAAATGCCAGATATAGGTGATGGGGAGGAAGGCAGCAAATCATACTGCCACGTGTGTACCCATGCAACAATCTTGCATGTTCTTCACATGTACCCCAAAACCTAAACTGCAATAAAAATATTTTTTTAAAATTCTCTGAGCAGACCTGGTGCACTGCCCCCAAGAAGGCCAGATCGACCGGTGGGTCCACTGACGCACACCAGGGGTGACGGTCCAAAGATTGACTTGGTGGGCAGTTCGCTTTCTGGCATCCTGGACAAAGATCTCTCAGACCACAGCGATGACATCGACCTAGAAAGTTTTGACTCCGTGGTGTCATCTACTGAGAAACTCAGTCATCCGACCACAAGCAGACCAACAGCTACGCGGAGGCGGCCTCCATCCCAGTCCCTCACCTCTCCATCCCTTTCAAGCCCTGATATCTTCGACTCCCCAAGTCCCGAAGAGGATAAGGAGGGACACATTTCACTTGCGCACAGAGGAGTGGACGCGTCAAAGAAAACTTCCAAGACTGTTACCATATCCCAAGTGTCTGACAACAAAGCATCCCTGCCACCCAAGCCGGGAACCATGGCAGCAGGCGGTGGGGGGTCAGCCCCTTTGTCCTTGGCGGCACCCTCCCCCCGTCATCCAATTTGGGAACAGCTGGACACAGAGCCAACTCCCCGTCTCTGTCCAGCATGGAAGGAAAACCAAAGATGGAGCCTGTGGCCAGCAGCCAGGTGGCTGTGGGGGAGCTAAGGACACAGGTCTGCGAGCTGAGGAGCATCATCGAGAACATGAAGGACCAGCAGAAACGAGAGATTAAACAGCTATTGTCTGAGTTGGATGAAGAGAAGAAAATCCGGCTTCGGTTGCAGATGGAAGTGAATGACATAAAGAAAGCTCTACAATCAAAATGAATACTTGACCAATGCAATGTCACATTATTCATCCTGAGTCTGAGGCTCAAATTTTCTGCCCCAGCCAAAATAATCTTGTGCCAAAAGATTAAAGGTTTGCCTCAACATGTCACTGTTTGAAAGATTAGCACAAAAGTCTTGATAGCACAACACAAATTCCATCCAAGAGGAGAATCTTTCCCAGGGTTTAGTCCTGGGCTGGCACTTGTGACTTACACAGAGCAAAATTGTGCTAAAGGCTTTTCTACTCTGAGATCTCAATGCGAAATGAAAACTCAGGCAGTTTAGTCCATAGTGGTGCTTTTTTGATGATATTTTCCATTAATAAAATGTAATTTCTGATTATTCGTTTACAAGCTTTATAATTTTATGATTTTTTAATTGTGTTTTATCACGGAATCCCCTAGTGTTTGTACTACACGTAGTCAGAAGCAAGTGTCCTTTTCTTTTGCTTCAGGCTGAGAGCTGCTTGCTCTTTGTCCCCCCATTAGGATTCTATTACATATTCAATTTTAGGTTCAAGCTGTCCCTTCCCCTGCCAGCCAGCCCCACTGCCCTAAGAGAAATTTTAGCTTATATGAGATGGTATATTTACAAAAAGAGAAAGAGAAAATCTGGTATTTGCAATGATCTGTGCCTTCTTTTCACCACCCTCTTGATTGGAGCTTTTGTGATGCAGCTACCATGATTCAAAAAAATTTAAAAATAAAAATTAAAAAAAAAAAAATCTGCCACTTATCCAAGTCCACTAGAGGCCACTGTCTTCTCTCACCCTAGCCAAAGGTCCTGAGAGGAGACAGCTGTGAAGTTTGGCGTGCTCTGTGGTACCAGCTGTGACTTCTAAGTTTCTCCTAGTTTTAGGTTGTTCATGAAACCAGAAATGTCACGCCTGCTTGATTTTTCATCAGCCAAGTTAAACCCCTGCTTTCTGTCCTTTGCACCTTTTGCGTGAACAGAACATGCGTTATTAAAGCAAAAATAAATAAAAGTAAAATGTAAATAAAAAAATAATAGTAACAAATTTTGCAATATGTACATACCACTTATATATATAATACAAAACACAAAATTATGCTATATGTTATTTACATAAATATGGATTAAGAACAGAGAAACATATCTTGAAGAATACATGTCAACGTCCTAATCCCACAACATTGGGAGGGAAATGAGATTGAAGAGAATTACAAAGGAAACTCCAGCCGTATTTGTCCTGCTTTACTTCTTTTTAAGGGTGGGGGGATCTGGTAAAAACTGGAAAACTTGCTAGACAAATTCCAAAAAAGCCCTATCATTGCCATGCTTCATTTCTTAAGAAGAAATGACCTTAAACAAATGTGGCAAGTATTTAATTTCATTAAGGTTGGGTTCATGTGAGCTACAAGTGTTTTTTTCTTGTTCTCTATATGTGTGAGTGTATACATAAAAGATTTCATAATGTGAAATAAATTATTTCATTCTATGATAATGTGACAAAAGAAGCAAAGATGTGAAATAAAAACTAACAGGAAGGAATCTACTGTAAGCAGTGTGGCCAGGGATTCACGCTCCAAAGAAGGGATGCTTAGGCTGAAATATGGAGAAACAGAAAGAAAGCTGAGTTTAAAAAAGTTCAAGCAGAGTAGTATGTAAATAGACACACCAATGTCTGCAGTCTAGGATGGCATTAAATCTGCTGATGGTTTATCTGTGATCATCATTCTACTACAAGTTCTGTAAGAGCATGGATACTGAATATCCTGTTTAACATTGTATTTTCATCACCAGAATGGTAACACACAGTATGGCTCAAAAAAAAAAAATTCCCAGATGAAGTGAATGACATGGTTTAAGGGACTCAAATGTTAGAGTGCCGCTGACTCTGGCGGCTGGAGCTGTCGACTCATTCATCCCGTTCCGCACGCTGGAGAATGAAGCCGGCCGTCCAGCTCTTGGTCTCCAGGCCCGCGACCGTCCGCCAGCCGTCCCGAGGCCACTCCCCACCTCCGCCGTGAGTGTGGACATGCAGTGCCTGGACATCCAGTGCGAGGAGCTGAGCGACGCTGGGTGGGCCGAGCTGCTCCCCTGCTCCAGCGGTGCCAGGCGGCCAGGCTGGACGACTGCGGCCTCACAGAGGCCAGGTGCAAGGACATCAGCTCTGCACTCCAGGCCAACCCTGAGCTGACTGAGCTCAACCTGCGCAGCAACGAGCTGGGCGATGCTGGCGTGCACCGCGTGCACCGCGTGCTCCAGGCCCTGCAGAGCCCCTCCTGCAAGATCCAGTTGAGCTCCCAGAACTGCTACCTGACAGGGGCCGGCTGCGGGGTCCTGTCTGGCACACTGCGCTCCCTGCCCACCCTGCAGGAGCTGCACCTCAGCGACAACCCCTTGGGGGATGCGGGCCTGCAGCTGCTCTTCGAGGGACTCCTGGACCCCCAGTGCCGCCTGGAAAAGCTGCAGCTGGAGTACTGCAGGCTCTCATCTGCCAGCTGCGAGCCCCTGGCCTTGGCGCTCAGGACCAAGCCGGACTTCAAGGAGCTCAAGGTCAGCAGCAACGACATCGATGAGGCCGGCGTCCGCGCGCTGTGCCAGGGCCTGAAGGACTTCCCCTGCCAGCTGGAGACGCTCAAGCTGGAGAACTGCGGTGCCACCTCGGACAACAGCAGGGACTTGTGCAGCATCTTGGCCTCCAAGGCCTCCCGCGGGAGCTGGCCCTGGGCAACAACAAGCTGGGCGACGTGGGCATCGCAGAGCTGTGCCCGGGGCTGCTGTACCCCAGCTCCAGGCTCAGGACCCTGTGGATCTGGGAGTGTGGCCTCAACACCAAGAGCTGCAGAGACCTGTGCCGTGTCCTCAGGGCCAAGGATAGCCTGAAGGAGCTCAGCCTGGCTGGCAACAAGCTTGGGGACGAGGGTGCCCGGCTGCCGTGTGAGAGCCTGCTGGAGCCTGGCTGCCAGCTGGAGTCGCTGTGGGTGAAGTCCTGCAGCCTCACAGCTGCCTGCTGCTCCCACTTCAGCTCAGTGCTGGCCCAAAATAAGTTTCTCCTGGACCTGCAGATAAGCGACAACAGGCTGGGGGATGCAGGCGTGCGGGAGCCCTGGGCCAGCCCGGCTCCGGGCTGCGGTCACTCTGGCTGGGGGACTGCGACGTGAGTGACAGGAGCTGCGGCAGCCTCGCCGCGACCCTGTTGGCCAACCACAGCCTGCCCGAGCTGGACCTCAGCAGCAACTGCCTGGGGACGCGGGCGTCCTGCGGGGGATGGAGAGCCTGTGGCAGCCGGCCTGCCTCCTGGAGCAGCTGGTCCTGTACGACATCTACAGGATGTAGATGGTCTTTGGAGATGGAGAACCGGCTGCAGGCCCTGGAGAAGGAGAATTCATCCCTGAGTGTCATCTCCTAAGCCGCTTCCTCCCCGCCGGGCTCCTGAGACCCGCTCTCCCTGGACAACCGGCCTCAAGGCACCCCTGGGCTCTC